GTACGTACCGTACCATACCTATACAGGTACTGGTCTTTCCCCTTACCCCCAACGGCTCCTAACTACCATGGACTACCCAGTACTAGAGCCAGGCCAGAGCCTCGGAGGACGTGATCTTTTTTGCCTGGCAAATGGACACCAATACTGCCTGGCTAATTTGATACTGTCTTTGCAGCCACCAAAATATCTGCTTGGAGATAATTGACTAGGGCTGTCAGTCCACTTTAGGTAAGGCCACACCGACTTAATTTTATGGACGACATCCTTTGAAGCCCCCCAAACTAGTGCGCGCGGGCGAATAAAAAAATTCCGGCCAAAAATAAAAATGCTACTAAACCACAGGGATACAAAGCTGGTGTTGTGAATTTGCGGCAGTACTTAGCGATGTATATGACAAGCCGGCACATGCTGGCTTTTTGTGGAATTTATAAATCGGCTCTGTACGTAATGTACTGAGTTCTTGAATCGTGCAGTTTCGGTAGCCTGGGTGCCGTCCTCAAGAGTTCCAACCGGCTCCTATATACCATGGACTTCCCAGGTCTAGAGCCAGGCCAGAGCCTCGGAGGACGTGATCTCTTGCCTGACAAATGGACACCAATACTGCCTGGCCAATTTGATTCTGTCTTAGTATCCACCAAAATATCTGCTTGGGGATAATTGACCGGGGGAGTCAGTCACTGTAACTTACAGGTTAGGTTACTTTCCTCGGGCAAATGAACTATACGATGGCCACACTCCCCTGGCTAATTATACATTCTCCCATTTTGGCCAAATCTTTACCGTTTTTGAACAGAAGTTGTGGGGAATAGGAGTAAGAAACGGTATGGGTAACATTTCTGCAAGCAAATACAAGCTCTCCTGGCAAAATGTTCATCCTATTGTCTGATATGGACGACATATTTGCAGTGACGTGAGTTACTGGAGCGGGGAATCTTGTTTCTTCCACTTCATCAGTTTTCACAGCCACACGGTACTGGTCAAGGAGGCTGACCCTTGTTCTTGTTGTTGTTGTCTCTGCTTAAAGCCATCCAATGCAATTTCAGGGCACCAAAGCTGGAAATATTCTGAATATGTCTGTATCTGTGATATTGACACATACTACTTCACATTGGCTCATTTAAATCATCATTTCACACTTTTCATGTTTCTAAAACTGCAGAAATAAGCCCCGAGATGAGTCCTTTATTTTCTGGGTGGTACCCTAAAAATCATCCCTTTAACCAGCTGCAGTAACCGTTTTCCATCAGAATTTTGGGAATTTTTGCTCCACGGGGTCAATATACATCGGGACTGTGTGGTTTCAATAATGACTAAAATATTGGCATTGGTTTCCAGGCCCTAAAAATTGCACTGGATGCCTTTAACGTCTATTTTTTCCGCTAGACGTGGACTCTTGGTGCCATTCTCTTCTCCGGGTGCTTTGTTTGTATACAGTGCTCTGGCACTTATCAATGGTTTATTGTGGCGACTTAAAACATCCATACAGTGGCAGCTGTATTAGCTGAATTATAGTGTAGCATTACAAGGATAATAATATTTTACACTTAATATACATTATTAATACTTACAAAAAGAACTTAAAATGCCTTATGTTAGGTCTGCAGATATTAAAACCATTTTATTGATATGTTAAGACATATGAATACATTAATCGTGTCATGTTTCATTAAGTAGATCAACCAGGTAAGGCAGTGTAGTCTTGCGATACCTCGAGCTATCAGTTGTACATTTGAACCGTATTACATTATGTTTTGATCTAAGGCATGCTTACACGGTTCGGGGGCAGCCATGTCGAAAAAGTTGTAGAATTCAGTAGTGAAGTAGTGTTCTGGTGCCTTGCACGTGTGTGTTTTGGAAGTGTTGGTTAGTCCTCCTTCTCAAACCTTGCCGCGGAGCGTTCCTCCGTGTGGCGTCGGGTGGTGTAGTGGTTAGAGCAATCGACCATGAACCGTGGAGACCCGGGTTCGATTCCGGGTCGTAACCGGTACATGTCTGAACATACGTCTCGACGTTGTGCCCTTGGCACTTTACATGAATTTCCTCACTCCACCCAGGTGTGAATGGGTACCTAACTTCGGTTGGGGAAAGTCGTATTGAGGCCACCTTGTGGCGCCGAATGGCAGCCGCACAGACCCTTGCGACAGTTCCGCAAAAAATTGTGTAACAAATATCTGTATCATGTCTGCATTATTATTTGCTTGTTGTGATCTGTATTGATTATTATGTGATACCCTGCATCAATTCAGTCGTATAAAGACTGAGACTGCACGGGTACTGTTTGGACAATAAAAAAACATTTATTATTATTATTATTGTTAAGTAGTTTGAGAATGCTCTGTACAGCAGAATGCCAGTGTCGTATGTCCAGTCAGACTTCGCCCCCCTCCCCACCCCACTTATGCTTCGGTCCCAATTGAAAAAAGGGGCCCTGCCGGGTAGTTCCCGAGCTGTTTTTTGGCACTTTCGGGCGTAACCCCTACGTGGCCCCGCCGGACACCCTGCGGCTACCGGGCTATTTTCGGGCCCGGCGGGGACCCGAGAAGAATTTAATTCTGAATTAAATTCTAGCCGGGCCCCGCTGACAAAAAGACACCGTGACATCACCGTGAGAACACCGAGAGGTACCCCTCCGGTTGCCGGCAGTCCTCCGGGATACATTTGTTACGTCACAGACCAGATGAACAGAATAAAGGTGTGTACTTCGTAAACCCGGGTAAAATGTGTGACGTCACAGATCAAAGGATCACAACAAAAACGTGAACTCTATATTAAGTGGGTCAGTACAAGACATCGTTAGAGAAGCTTCCGGGTACCTGCCGGGTGCCTGCCGGAGAACGACCAATAAGGGTGACAAAATGCCACTAAAGGAAACTTTTAATTGTGACCACAACAAACGGTGCCCGCCAGGCTCCAGAGCCCGGCGGGAGCCGGCCGGGGCTACATCCCTGACGGGCACCGGCGCAATTGGGACCGAAGCATTAGTATGACAAACAGTATCAGTTTTAAACTCAGTGTTGCGGAAAGAACAAAAACGATGATTGAAGACACCTGCAGTGACAGCATCCTCGGGCGGTATTGCTAAATAAAGGTTACTCTCCAAGCAGATGTTTGGGCTTCGACTTATTTTTGGCGCGTTTTAAGGCGTTTTACACCAATGGTTGGTCATAGACACCTGAAATATTTGCAAACATATAAAATCATCAAGGGTTTCTACGTCGCTGCCTGCATACATGCTCTAGAAAGTCTGTGCATTATGATCAAAGTCCATTAATTTGCGATGGTAAAAGGTAAGGGTAAATTGTAAAACAGTCATCCTTAACTGAGATGAAGCGTAATGATTTTTCAAGAAGCTACTAGTGTTATGCGGCTTCTCTACAGCTCACATTTATAGCCAACCCCTACTCTTCTCAATAAAGCTACGGTCACATCCCGCCGTACGTGCTTCTGCGTGCTGTCCACGTGCAAAAACGTGGGCAAACGTAGGGCATCCGTGCGTGGTGAGTACCGCCTCCGTACGGAATCCTACGGATTTGGGAGCACGCAGACACGCCGTAGAACTTTAAGTGCATGTAAAACTTTTTTCTACGTGCGGTCTGCGGATTCACCACCCGTGCGTGCGAGTACGGGCGACGCGCGTGCCCCGAACGTACCGTGCGGAAGAAGCACGTGTGAGTACGGCCTCCTTACTGTAAAGTTGCGGTCGCACAGAGATCGTACGTTGTAAGCACGTACGGCTCACTTGCCACTTGCGCAACGTACGATGCACGCAACCGCTCACAGCTGGACTTGGCGTGCAGACCACACTCTTACACTTTGCGCAACCGTGCAAGTGACGTGCGAGTGACGTGCGTAGACGCCACTCCTTCCCCACGTTTTCAGAAAAAACGTAGCGGACTTAGCCTCCCAAAAAACGTACGGACAAAAAAGCAAGTACGGCGGGTTGTGACCGAGGCTTAAGTGTGTTGGGTTCTTTTACGTGCATAGGTTTTGCGCTTAATGAGGCTAGGACCAAAAGCTCCTTCATACATGTACCCTGTCAAATTGTATGTAATTAATGGCTTGATACAATTCTCTGTTATCGACAAAAATGTTTGAAGTATAGGCGAGATTTGAAGTTTAGGGACGCAACTCAAAAAGGTTTCGTTTGTCGTTCCTTTTTCAGACGCCAGAGGGCGTGGTTGGCCTGGGTGCTGTGTCTGGTGTGGACAGGTGGGACGTGTGGAGCAGGATACGGCGGAAATACTACCAACAATTCAGGTAAGACTTTGTGTTATCCTACAAACAAACAAACAAACAACCAAACAAACAAAACAAACAGACAGCAAGACTTCGAAGATCTCAGACCTCCATGAAATATTAAGATCTAGATCTTATGTGATGGTGACTGTGACCTCTTCTTCTTCATCTTGGTGTCTACAAGTCTTTCTTTATCGTACAAGGGACAAAAACATCAGCTGTCAAGCAGGTCATGTAACGAAAAACACTTAAAAACAGCGAGAGCTTCAAGATGTAGACGTGATTAATGACTTTCTCCCTCTGGAACAGACTGACCACAACCATATCCATTACGACCATATCCATTATGACCTAAGCGACACGTGGAAACACAGACACACACACGGACACACACACACACACACATACACACGGACACGCACACACACACACACATACACACACACGGACACACACACACTTACACACGGACACACACTCACACACACACAGACACACGCACAAACACACACAGACACACACGCACGCACGGACACACACACACAAAAAAGATACACACACACAGACACACGCACACACGCACACGCACACGCACATACACACACACACACACACACACACACACACACGGACATACCAAAAACAAAACCTCCATTTTTCATGGGAATAACTACGGTTAAACTTAATTATTTCCAATTCAATTCAATCCAAGACTATGTCTTCACCAAACTTTCAATTAACTTTGAACAAATGTTGGCTTTCTAATGTCGCTTGTTTCCCCCTTTTACCCCTTGAAAGCATGTCGGGATACGAATGTGGATCTCGTGCTCCTATTAGACGGTTCTGGGAGCGTCACGGAGTCCAACTTCCAACGGATCAAGGACTTCGCTAAAGATCTCCTACAGGTTTCTATTTTAATATTGCATAACTGTACTGCTCTGAATGTATGATTTGTGCAGATTGTACTAGATCATTGTAACTAGTTGGTAGTCCTGTAGTACACTCTGTCATACACTTTATATTGTATTTAGTGTACATACGTCGATGAAGGTTAGACATCCAGGTAATACGATACGCCAAAAAGCAGTTACTCAAGCAACTGGATATGATTTTGGAAACGTCAGACGTTTCAGCTAGTATCCACTAGCTTTCGTCAGTGACTGAGAGACCAGACGGGAAATGCAGGTTTATAAGCACTAACTATTGATTGATATGCAAATAAAGTGAAAATAAAATTTTGGAAGTCGAAAAAGGAACAAAAGTCAGACAAGTCAAGACAAGATAATGCAAATTAGTCAGAAAGCTCCTGTTATACAGAACAGGAGCTTAAGCTTAACAGGGAAGGGGGCTACAGGTGGATCTCTCCGGCACTTGATTTGGCACTCCCAGCCGCAAGGACCGACAACACTAAGCTCCTGTTCTGTATGTTTTTCTGACGTTTTCAAAATCATGTCCAGTTGCTTGAGTAACTGCTTTTTGGCGTATAGTGTATATACTTTCTATGATAATGTATGGCTAACGTGTAGATTGCACACTTACAAATACCAGTAGTCTTATACAACGCTTTATACTACAGTCTTATACAGCATTCCACCCTGCATCCTACCTGTTACAATTGTTGCAATGTACGTTCCCACTAGGCTGTTTGAGTGTAGGGGCCTCCTACGCTGTGATTTGAACCCCCTATACTGTGATTTGAACCCCCTATACTGTGATTTAAACCCCTATACTGTGATTTGAACCCCCTATACTGTGATTTGAACCCCCTATACTGTGATTTGAACCCCCTATACTGTGATTTGAACCATCTATACTGTGATTTGAACCCCCTATACTGTGATTTGAACCCCCTATACTGTGATTTAGCCCCCTACACTGTCTTTCAACCAGCGAATGGTTGTTTCTTTTTGGGAAGAAACCTTCATAAATCTAAAAAAAAGTTTGACTTTAAAATGAAGCTACAACAGAGGGAAAGCTTTACAAACTTTGTCCCTCAAAAGGAGGAAATATTGTGGGTTATAATTAGGAGTTTTTAAATTTTTCGGCGAGAATATCAGACCCCCTACTGTCGTCATATCTTTCGGACTCGGGCGCAACTTGCTCCGTGAAAAGTTTCCCTTCTGTACCTTAACCCTACTGTACATTGTGAAAAATTCTGGCAAGAACCCTGTACAGTTGTATAAGCTTTGTCTTGACTTGACTTGACGTGGCGTCGGGTGGCGTAGTGGTAGATCATTCGATTGTGAACCGGGAGACCCGAGTTCTATCCCGAGTCGTACCCGGGACATGTCTGGGCATGCGCCCGACGTTGTGCCCTTGGGAAAGGCACTTTACACGACTTTCCTTACTCCACCCAGGTGTGAATGGGTACCTAACTTCGGTTGGGGAAAGCCGTATTGAGGTCACCTTGTGACGCCGAATGGCAGCCGCACAGACCCTTGCGACAGTTTCACAAAAATGTGGAACAAATATGTATCATGTGTATTATGTGTATTATTATGTGTATTATTACCCTTTGTATCATGTGATTGTAAGCCCTGCATCAATTCAGCACTATGAGGCTGCGATTGCACGGGTGATGTTTGGCCAAAAAAACATTTATTATTATTGACTTGACTTGACTACAGGAGTTCAACATCAACAGCGAGAACGGCACGCGGGTTGGTGCGGTCCAGTACAGCTCCGTAACCCGCGAGGAATTCAAGCTGAACCGCTATAACACCTCTGCCGAGGTCATGAACGCCATCGACGGGATCAGCTACATGAGAGGTATCTGTATCTGCATCGTATCTGTATCTGTATAGCTGGTATAAAGCCGTGTTTAAGTGAAGTCACCCAAACCGCGATTCAGGTAACTTACATTCCTCACATCTGGTCCACGTGCCACACACTCCTGTGAAACCGTGTCCGATCACAATTCGCTGAGCTATATTTGTTGTTGTTGTTTGATAAAAACACGCAAGGTGGCGTGTTATTATTGTCAGAGGTCAACGACCTGCTTGCTGATGCCCCCCTCCCAGCGTAGCTCGGCCGAATGCCGACGTGGTCCCGCCAGAGGCGGTGAAGCTCGTCCTAGAACGGACACATTATGTGACCATTACTGCTCTTTAAGTTGCTGCCACGTAAAAGTTGGTATTGCATATAAATAAAGAAATATCACCCCGTAATCCATGACCAGGCGAAGTTACATTGAAATCACATTGCGGTCAGACGCAAATCGCGATGCGGGAAAACCGATTCGAAACCACCTCTAGAAGTGGCTTGGGATCGAGGCGCTTTACATGTGATTTGGAGCGTTCAGATGGAGCCACTTGAAAACCACATGTAAAGTGCCTTGGGTGACTTCACTTAAACACGGCCTAACTGCCCTTCGGCGTAACACATCAGCTTCGCAGGCACGCGGCGCGGCGGCAGTTGGCTACATTACACCGAACGTCTTGTTACATATACGCCGAACCCTTGAACATCTAAACTCATATATTGTTTAAAGCTATCTAATGACAATGCCCCTACTGTACTTTGTGACAGCGAGTTCCACTCTGCGATAGTTCTAGGAAAGAATGAGTTTTTGAAGACCTCAATCCTTGGTTCTCTTCAATTTACTGTTCTTTTCTGGGCTGGTATTAGGTACTTAGTAGTTGGTACGTCCACCAGTTTATTAGTCATTTTGAAAACCATGCATAATCTGAACATTTTTCGCCTGTCTTCTAGGTGGCACGTACACGGGCGCCGCCTTGCGATATTTGTCAGATTACAGCTTCACGGCGACGGCGGGGGACCGTGCAGACAGGGCGAACATCGTGGTGTTGGTGACGGACGGGAGGTCTTACGACTCGGTAGTGACGCCGTCGGCGACCCTGAGGAACAAACGGGTGCAGTTGTACGCTGTCGGGGTGGGAGGGGCCGAGTACGCTTCCCTGAAGACCATCGCGGGAGACCCTGAGTACGCCTATCAGGTCGGCAGCTTCGCAAACATAACCAGCCTGACATCGGCGGTGCAAGAAGACCTATGTGGTAAGAGGATTGTACCAAATAATATAGGGTTAATGACCCGCCCTGAGGTGTATATGAGGTCATAATCTATGGTTGGTTCCTATAACCACCGAATAAATGACCGGGTCCGACACGGTCCGAGTCAGTGACTGCCAAAGATTTACATGTTGTAAAGGAGTTGTGTCACTTAAGCCTCGGTCACAACCCGCCGTACGTGCTTTTTGTCCGTGCGTTTTTTTGGGAGGCTACGTTTTTCTGAAAACGTGGGGAAGGAGTGGCGTCGACGCACGTCACTCGCACGGTTGCGCAAGGTGTAAGAGTGGGGTCTGCACGCCACGTCTGGCCGTGAGCGGTAGCGTGCATCGTTCGTTGCGCAAGTGGTAAGTGAGTTGTACGTGTTATAACGTACGATCACTGTGCGATTGCAACTTTCCCGGAAGGAGGCCGTACTCACACGTGCTTCTCCCGTACGGCACGTAAGGGGCACGCGAGTCGCTCGTACTTGCACGTACGGGTGGTGAATCCGCAGACCACACGTAGAAAAAGGTTTACATGCTCCAAAATCCGTGGGATTCCGTACGGAGGTGGTACTCACACGCCCTACGTTTCCCCACGTTTTTGCACGTAGACAGCACGCAGAAGCACGTGCGGCGGGTTGTGACCGAGGCTTAATGTGTTACTGATGAGTGACAAACTGTTAGACTGTCTTTTTGACATGGCCAGATCAGTGCAAATAGCTTCAAAACTTGTTTGGTCCGTTGTCATTGCAACTACATGTATTGTTGTTGAACAGAAAAGCTATTTTGGGGGTAGTGGGTCAAGTGCTATCACTGTTCAAAATACAAGCCAACTGTATCTTTTTTTACCACCGTTGTTTGATTCTTACAGACATTTGCTCTTAAAACTAATTCCTACAGGAAAGTAGCCCCACACGGGAAAAAGATAAACACCTACTTGCCGGTCAGTAGCCGTATAATTACCTTCTTCCCATGTATTATCAGGGAATAAGTCTTGTCTGGAGCAGCCATGCCACAACGGCGGGACATGTGAGAGTCAGGGGCAGGCGTTCTACTGCAGATGTCCCTCCGGCTTCACTGGAGAATACTGCGAAATCTGTAAGTACATCCACCCTCAGTTTCTTCTCTGTAAATTTCAATAAATAAAGATGTGATGATGATATTTATGTTTACCGAAAACATATTGTTTTTGCTCTGTTTCCTCTTCTTCCGTTCCAAATACAAAGGCAATAACTATAACCAGACTTCTGTCACCATGGTACGTAACTGATGTTGCGTTATATCATGTTGCAATTTTATAGCAGTAGGGATTTAGACTCCTGTCACCATATATATGAATGTGTTTTGACAGAGCAAACCGTATGCGGAGGTAAACATTATATATTGCAAATGTTACCTTTCTAGCTTTGTCTAATTTCTTGCAGCAAGAATAAACTGTAAATCACGATATGTACCTCATTAAAAATGAGCACTGAAGTAAAAATTACGTAATGTTATAATCGCTGCCGTTGTATATTTGACGTATACGAGTATAGTAAGTATTTGAGGAATGCTGTATAGGTTGCACTTGGCGTCCCACTAGAGGAACAATTCCACAACACCATTAAAATATCACATCCAAAGTGGGCCAACCATTCAACCTTGTAGAACCCCCATATAGTTTTGCCTTTGTTGTTCGCTCGCCAAGTAGCTTACCATAAAGATTTTAAAGGGCGTTTGTGTGATCTATGCAGGATAACACAGGAAGCCCTGAACGAATTTTCGTGATTATTATATTTCAGTCCATACCGTATGGTATGGATGAAATATACATGTATTGTGTTCTCTCATGTTTCTTCTCCTCCTCTCCTCCTACCATTCCTAAAAATGGATTCAACTCTGTCATTTGTTAGCCTAATGACTTGAAATTTGGCATGGAGGTAGAGTGGGTCTACAGAATAGCAGTCACAAATTTGGCATACACCACTTCCAAATGACTCATTTAGGGGACTTTAATGGCTATTTTCAGCCGAAAAAGGGCCAAAAGTGCTATACCCGTTCCACGTTCGATCTAAAGAATAGTCCGTTCCATCTACCGAACATTGCGGGTTACCTGGGTTGCTCGTACCTCGTGCGCAATGACCCACACATTCAATTTTATGTGCCTACGATCATTACTAGGGTAAGTTTGGAATAGTCCACTTTTGCGTGGGAGGAAGATTGACTGAATTCACTAAAATATGATGTATTTGCTCCCAAGCAAATGTCGGCCTTTCTAGTAATGTTGTTGTTTTCATCCATAGGTAATTCTCTCAGTGCGGACATGGCACAATGTTCGCTCTACGGCGATCCTCACTACAGAACCTTCGACGGCAAAAGTTCCGACTTCCTGGGCACGTGTACCTACACCTTCGTCAGGCACAAGACCACCAAAGGAAACCCACTCTTCAATGTAGCAGTGGATACGGAGTACGAAAGAGGTGGCACGAAGACGTCATACGCACGAGCGGTGCACGTCGACGTGTACGGATATCGCGTATCACTTCTAAACGGAACGTCTGTAACTGTAAGTTTTGATACGGATCTGTTTAAAAACAAAATCCGGATCCTAATATCCATGGCTTTGGTGGGATACTAGAAGTGGTTTAGATGGTGGTATTGATACTCTAGATGTGATCTAATTAGACCAAAGAAAGGGATATGCATCAATAACCTTTATTGTACATTCATGAACTATCGGGCAAAGTACAGGCGAACAGATCAATTTGGTAATATACATGTTTATAGTACAAACAGCTCTAAAGCTACTCTAATACATAAGTTCGCCTTCTTCCCGTTTCTTTGTGATGTTAAAATATAATTTGAAATGGGTTTGTATAGTACAGGATGATTAAAGCGCATAAGACAGATAAATTTGCCAACATTAGGCAAGTATTGGAAGTATGAAAACGTACTTGTATTATATCTAGAAAGATCATTTCTTTATGATATGTGTTACGGGAAGCTTGAAGTAAGATGACAGGAAGTAAAACAGGAGAAGCTATAGCTATTATAATAGTGTTTAATCCATATCTAAATATCAATGTATATACAATGGATATACGAGCTAGCGTGACTCCATGGACATATTGCATGCACTTTCATTCAAGAAATTTTAACTCAAGCGTGTGTGGAAAGCAATTCCCGTGATCACTTTCTATGGCACCTTCTACTGATAACTGAGATTAAAACTAGGTCAAGTATTCCTCCCTGTGGCACCCCACCCAGTTTAATCGAAACTGTCTCTTGTCAGGTTGACGGCATTCCCGCCACTTTATCAATTCAAAACTTAAACTTGAAGTGGAAAGCAGTTTCCCTGAGGGCACTTTCTATTGATAATGAGAAAAAAATGGGTCAAGTATTCACGCCTGTGGTACCCCCACCCAGTTTAATCGAAACTGTCTCTTGTCAGGTTGACGGCATTCCCGCCACTCTATCAATTCAAAATTTAAACTTGAAGTGGAAAGCAGTTTCCCTGAGGGCACTTTCTATTGATAATAAGATTAAAGGTGGGGTAATTATTCACCCCTGTGGTACCCCCCATCCAGTTTAACCGAAACTGTCTCTTGTCAGGTTAACGGCATTCCCGCCACTCTATCAATTCAAATTTTAAACTTGAAGTGGAAAGCAGTTTCCCTGAGGGCACTTTCTATTGATAATAAGATTAAAAGTGGGGCAATTATTCACCCCTGTGGTACCCCCACCCAGTTTAACCAAAACTGTTTCTTTCTAGGTTAACAACCTTCCCGTCACTCTACCAACTCAACTCGGTCCCTCCGCCCAAGTCCTGGTTGAATATCTTGGATCCTCCGTGGTCGTGCGTACAGTGTTTGGGCTACAGGTTGGCTACGACGGTAAACATGAAGTTTGGGTCCGCCTTGCGAAATGCTTCAAGTCGAAGGTTGAGGGACTCTGTGGAAACTTCAATGACGATTCGAATGACGATGATATGACGTCATCTGGTACCCAGGCCGCCAACACCGCTGCTTTGTTGACAAGCTGGAAGGTTGCTACCAATGAAAGGTGCTGTCTCAAAATCTTTCTCGGTTTATAAATATAATATGATAATAATAACCTTTATTGTACATAACATGCCCTATCGGACTAAGTACAGGTGAACAGATGAAAGGGTAGTATACATGTTTGTAGTACAAATAGCTCTGAAACTACACTAACGCAAAGGATCAGCTTCTTCTCGGTTTTTAGTGATGTCAAAAATATGATTTGAAATGGGTTTGTTTAATACAGGATGATCAAAGCGCTTAAGAAAGATGCATTTTTCAATATTAGTCAAGTATTGGAAGTACGGAAACGTACTTGTAATATATCTAAAAATATCATTTCTATAAATAATATTGCAAAGCTGATACAAGCACGAAACTTCATCTGAGTTATAAAATTATACATTATAGTACAATTGAAACGAGAGAAAAATACACCTGGATACACAAGAGTTCAACTAATGAAGTAATAATGGACCTAATCGACAGAAATGCAGTTTGGTAGGTTTATATGTAACGTTATAACCTTGTATGGTGACTGTCGTGAACGTATGTAACAATAACCAAACGTCGCCAGAGTGTTTTTATGAACACGTATCTTGTTTTTTTTTCCACAGCTGTACAGTAGGGGGTGCCGCTAACCCCACCGCCTGCTCCTTTCTAAACTTCGCCGTGGCGGTAGTAGCTTTCAGCTGCTCGACGCTCACCAGCTCTCCGGCATTTACCACTTGTCACTCCACCCTCGCCTTTAACGACTACTACCAGAACTGCGTGGACGATGTGTGTACGGCTGACACAGGCAGCAGCACGGAGTTGTGCAACAATTTTGAAGCCTACGCGCGCCAGTGCGGGAGAGAAAATGTCACCCTGAGCGGCTGGAGGGCTGCCATAACGTCAGCAGTGGACTGCAGTAAGTGGGGAAATTATTTGATTTGATTTGATTTGATTTATTAGGCTGAATAAACATATATATACAGCCAGGACTGCCCAACTAGCCGGAGGCTATTATAAAGGGCTAGCCCTCACAACAAGAACATTAACAATTCGGAACAGGTAACAGTTAACAGTGTCAGTTACACTTCAGATAAACATACTATTACATAACAGGTGTTGCCACGGTCTAACGTTGACAAGCTATGAAATCCGGCCTAGTCGTCGTGCGTTTACTATAATTACATTGTGTACTATATATACATGTCAGGTTAATATACTATTACATACTATGTTGCAGTCTAAAGTTATGTTAGGGTTAACAGGTTATGAAATCTGGCCTAGACGTCATACATTTACTATAATTACGTTGTGCACTATAAACATAGTGTATTGAAGTTCACCGCCCAAAATCAGTGTAGATTTCCCTGACAGTTCGTTGAGCTGCAACTGTCTCATCTTTGGTGCAATGCTGTTTGGTAATGTTAGGTGGCGCTGTTGCAGCGTCAAGAATAAGTCCAGAAAGTGACAGACAGCCCACCAAGACATAAAACCATAAAAAGTCTATATTGAATAGGTTGAATGATTTACCCATTTAAACTATTCACAGAAATCAATTACATTTTGAAGACTCTTTGGAATTTCGAATGGTTGTGATAAACTATTGGATGTATCTATTGGATCTAAAATATCAGATGTCTTGATGATTAATAATGTACAAGGAAAAAAAAGATTTGAATTGACACTCATTATTATGATATCTCTTGATCTGGACATGCTGGAGTTACAAATTGTAGATGGTAGATCTTTTTTTGTGCCCGGGGAGAAGTGGCATAAAATTGGGTCCCCTAGCAGTTTGTTCAGAAACTGCAGAGGCTTTTGTTTAAAAATCTTTTAGTGAGGACAACTCAAGAACCGGTTGAGGGATCATCATGATTATTGGTACATAGGTTAAGCTTAGTGATGCTTCGCATAATTACAAATCAATTATGTAAATCAGAATCTAATTTGCATAATCAATGCTGTTCAAAAAGATCTACTATCAAGAATATATAACTACTGGACACTGATATACCAAGGTCAACTTGTTCCGTTACTTCTGTATTATTTGACTTTCCATGTCTTTTTGATTTGATTATTTATATTTTTACCATTGATATGCAAACTCCACTTTTAGTTATTTACTTTTAAGTTGACATACCTTTTGACTATCTACCATTATGATTTGATATCTGAACGATTATAATTACTTCTATGTTACTTTATTTCATTTGATTGTTGATGAGTTAGTTACGATTTCGTCTTGTTCACGATAAGTTTATCTATTTTTATTTGACCTTTGTTAGTTCATCTTTAATCTTTTGTTATAATTGTAATGTCATGTAGTTTTGTTGGGGTTATTCCCCCAGGAATCTTTGAAAAACACCAATAGGTGACATGTATTCAGTTATTTATTTATTTTATTCACATTTATTTTTTGAGGATTGGGCAAAAAGTTATAAAACTTATCTCAGCCCTCTCCTCACACATAAAAAAAAACAATAAAAGAAAGTAATAATAACTAGAAAGGCCAATATTTGCTTTGGAGCAAATACAGCGATGGGTTCACCACATTTTACGACATGGCAGGGAAAGAATGAGAAACACAAGGGAAAACAATGATTTACATTGATATAACTATAATATGAAGTAACATACAACTAAAACAACAGTTGGATAGCTATTCCCTACTTTATTGGTTAGGATTTTTAATTGCATAATGCAAACTGTTGATTTTCAAAATAAAAAAAAAACGTTCATGCCCCGCATTCCAATGCTGGAGCAGAAAAGCTTGAAATACCTACCAAAACACTTGAATAAAGACATACTGTCAGTATGGAAATGCTCTGTGCAGGTGTTAATCAAGTTAAATCCCAACAGCCAATCAGCAAGAAATGCTCTGTGCAGGTGGAAATGCTCAATCTTTTTGTTTTGATTTTGTATTTTGTCGGTGCCTTATAAGCCCATATGGGCTGGGCGGCACTTTGATCGCAATGGCACGATAATAAACAGTCATTCATTCATTCATGCTCTGTGCAGGTGTTAATCAAGTTAAATCCCAACAGCCAATCAGCAAGAAGTATAGAGGAAAGCTGCATGCCTATTGGTTGATGCCCTGCATTCCATTGTGATGACTCATGCCCAGACGTGGTAAACACGGCACACTAACACAGTAATACATTTGCTATAACACAGCCAAAAAACTCAAATAAAACCATTCTAAAAGTCTGTATCACAAAAATTTAAAAAACGCCGAGGGGTATTTGCCCACTGCACCTCCATACCAAATTTCAGGACCTTAGGCCCTAAAATGAAGAAGCTGAATCCATTTAAAAAATGGCAGGAGAAGAAGAAGGAGAAGAAACATCAGAAAAAGCAATATGGGTTCACCACCACTTCGTGGTGTGGTGAACCCATAATAAGAAGAACAAATGACAAAGGTACATAATGAGCTGGTGTACAAATCAAAATCAATCAACTAAATCAAACAAAACGTCCTGTCTGCAAAATAAAGTTGAAAACCACATCAAATATTTTACAGTTGTTGACAAATGACATGTATTTCCTGGTTAAATAAAAAAAACAAAAAACAAAAAAATAAACAAACAAATGCTGTCTTTCAGGTGTAACGTGCCCATCGGAGAAAAACTTGACATACTCCAGTTGTGTGAAGGAGTGTGAGCCCAGCTGTCTCCTGCCCAGAGGACCACCAGGTTGTGACAACACCGTCTGTCTGTCTGACGGCTGCGTGTGCGAGAATGGACTGCTCCGCAGCGGGGATAGCTGCGTCCCCCCGGAAAAATGTGGTTGCTCCCAGGATGGGGAGTACCATATGGTAAGAACAGAATAAATTTTAAACATGGAGTATGCTATTTCTTTGGCGACGTCTCAGGGAGGAGCCTAATGGTACAGTATTGTGTGCAGTTTGCATGAATTCTAGGAATGGTATAGGCATTTTGTCCACAGGAATGGAATGTCCACAGGCATGTCTCTGACCCACATCTATGCTCACATTCCTGGAAACCCTTGCCAGTCTTGTTAGATTTATGCTTCAATGAAGGTTGGACATTCAGGTAATAAGATACACATCCAAGGAAAAAATTACTCAAGCAACTGGGTAGATATTTAAATATAATGCTTCATTTAGTAGACTATTTCTTTCTTGAACATTCTACTAAGGACCTCACCGAATATCTGTAACACTAAAATTGTATCTAATAGCAAGATAGATATCTGATGGCCCACCCTTTATTCAATGTATTTATCTAAAACTGTTTCACAATGACAATGTATTATCATAAAGTCAGGCAACGTCGACCAATTTGAAGCCTCCATTTCCCATTGGGTGCTTCTCATTGGTCGACATTGGTCTATCAGGCCGTAACATCATAAGTAGTGAATAATGAAGAAAGTGGTCGATTATTAGAATTATTACAAACCACTTTTTGGACTATACCATTTTGAGATTTCTGGTTGAAACGAATCATTGGAGGGAAAAAACTTAATGATCTTTCCTTTGTGTTCTAGGTTGACACCAACTGGGGCACACAGGACCAGGTTCAGTGCGGTTGCTCTAGCAACAACGGTGTTCGATGCTACAATGTGGTCTGTGCTCCTAACTTCTACTGGGCTCAGGGGGAGAGCACCTACGAATGTCTGTGTCAGCCTGGCCGCCAGGAACAGTGCAAGGCTCAAGGTAAAACAATCAACAGTTCTTAACTCATCATCTTGTCTTCATTCTTATGTTTACTGAAGGAAAACATATTGTTTTTGCTCCATTTCTTCTTCCTCTTCTTTTTCTGTTCCAAACACTAACCTTTGACCTGGCCAATAAACTATTTTGTTGACTTCTGTCACCATAGTAACTGGTGTTGGGTTACATAATGTTGCAATTTCATTGTAGGCATTTAGGCTCCTGTCACCATATACATGTACATGTATGTGAATGTGTTTGAGTAAGAATTAACAGAGCAAACCATTTCCGAAGGTAAACATTATGCATTTGCTTTTCAAATGTTACTTTTCTAGTTTAGTCTAAGTCTTTGACCGTCGGGCTGCTACATATGATCTGACAACAAGTTTTCTCTACTCTCCTCAGTTTTCAGTTTTCAGTTTCAAATCTTCACTTAATGTCATGCCTCGTCCATTCTCTGATGTTGTCCTTCCATCTTTTCCGTTGCCTACCCCGCTTTCTTCCTCACTGTACTGTTGCATGTGGTTTTGGCTGTGCTGATCAGCCACTTTAAATTGTCATTGCCTCTTTGTCCATCAAGTGATTGGAAAAAGGCATTGGGTAGGATTTGACATAAACCTCAATGATCTCTCTGATGGTGTTTTAGTTCATTTATTCCTTAGAGGTTCTGTATCACTATCATATCCAAATAACTTAAAATTTTTACTTTATGTTCAATCATTTATAAAGGAAACTAAAAGATTTGAGTAATTCTTTCCTATCAATTTTGTAAGTTTTGCCTGGAGTACTTTACACATTGTAACCTTATTTATTCTATTCTGTTATTATTAAGCTTTGCATGTCTGTTTTTGCATTTGATTTTGTATTTTTGTAATGTCAGATGGCGACATGAACATAAGCTTCGGCTTGAGTGTGTCGTCATCCTGTCCACTTTGCTTCTAAATGTTTTAATAAAGAAAAAAAAAGGCATAAGTAGGCAATAAGAGTAGAGGAGAATATTTGGCCAGGTAGGAACTTTTGACAATCAGCCTGCAAAGATTATGTCCTGTACTCTTCTTAATCAGGGCTCGAAAAAAACAGTGTCCCAATGGCCACTGACCACTAAAATGTAGGCCGGGACAACTAAAAAGCCACTTTGGGACATTTTTGGGAAAACAGAAAAATAATCAACATCAAAATGTCAGCATTTCTATTGCTGATATGGCACACGTCCGGCTTTTGGCTCCAAATTTCTTGTCTACTCTGCAATTATAGCGCGCCTGGGAGTCAGAACATAAGCGAAAGAAAATTGACTTCAAGTTGAACTCATACATTTAACTTTTACATACCTCCCGAAAAACAGGTTAGGACAGTTCATCCTCACTTTGGGACAATTGAAATTTATTTTTTAGACAGTGCTAGGACAGTGCTAGGACGATAGAAAGAAAGTTAATTTCCAGGCCCTTATAATGACTATTATCTGAAGGAATTTGACAAGTCTTTCCATACAAGGGTCATAAGTCTTAATATCATTCAGAACATCCTTTTCAAACTTTCGGGGGTGATGTGATTCAATGATTGTACATATATCTGTTTCTTACGTAAAATGTTTCAAAGATTACTCGTATTTTACACTCTGTATTTGTTTGTCATAACTTATATGTACATATATGTATAATGATATGTAAATACATAATAAGAGATATTGGACTATAAATGTAAGTATGTGGGAAAATTGGGAAGGGGAACACTACAGTAACTGAATTTATTAGGAAATGTTGTATCTTCAAATTCACTCTTTGAATTCTTTCTTGGTCTGCAAATGTTTTATTGTAACACTTGTCCCAACAGCGGAGTGCTATACCAAGAATGGAACATATTACAGCGGCAAGATGTCTACCACGATAAGTGGACGAACATGCCAGGGTTGGGACACCCAGCTCCCCCACAAACACAGTATCTCCAGGCTCACACATAACTACTGCCGGAACCCCGGTGGAACCAGGGACAGACCGTGGTGTTACACGATTGACCCTAGCGTCCGCTGGGAGTACTGCAGCGTCCCACAGTGCGGCAAACGTGAGTACTTCAAAGTGGTTACCCTAGGGCGTCGGCAGAATGTACTGCGCCACACCAATTTAATTTCTTGGTTATCGGATTTTTCTAGAAAAATAATGGAGCGGGCGGATAAAAAAAAATAAAACAAATAAACAGGCCTATGCTATTATGGCCCTAAATTGTACGATGGGAGCCATGAAGTCAACACACCAGGCTAGTTCAAAATTGTCAATGAATTTTGAACTTTTAATGATACCACTGCATTGAAATATGGAATATAACTGTAACAACTAGGATGAAAATGACTGTTTTTAACTGTTCAGGGCAAAATATGAGCATTTTGCAGTTGATTCTGAACTTTTTTTTTTAAATTTCCAAAACAGAAAAAAAAATGAAGCGGGTGATTCCGTTAACCAAGAAATTAAATTGGTGTGGCCTAACGTTGTATCTAAATTTTGCCTGTTGCAGACGATATCTTTTCCCACACAACATTTGGAAACTACAGACGGGATGTTAACCTTATATGTGCAAATATGACCTAAGCTTATATAAGAAGTTCTGCCAAAGTTCTATGCATAATACATTACGGGTTTCGCGTAAGTGCAGTACGTTCTGCTGACGTGCTGGTTAGCCTCCACCAGGCTTAGGAAAGCAGCTGGAAAGAGAAGCAATTTCTAGTCTTTCAAGCTGCTTCCCGAAGCCTGATAGAGGCTATACTTTGGTCGCTCATTTTACTGATGGTAAGGAAGTATTGTTTTGGGCTTGTTTGTGGGTTTGTGTGTATGCTTGTCCAGACAGGGCAGGTTGACAGCACATGGGTGGAGTAAGATTGACAGGCAGAATCTGGCCAAGAGCAAACAGGAATTCAAATTTGGGAGAATTCAGGAAGTAAAAAATATGTTACGGGTGGATTTTGATAAAATTTATTGCCAAAAATGGCCTATAGGTACAATTGGGTTTGAATATGGTTTTTATTCATATTACGCTGAGAATTATACTATGTACAGTCTTAAAATGTATGGAATTCCTTTATTCTCGTCCATAGTTTACTGTGAGCCGAACCCCTGTAAAAACAATGGAACCTGCCAGGAGTTCGGCAGTGCCTACACATGCCAGTGTCCTGCTGGGTATGAGGGAGACAACTGTGAAAAATGTAAGTACAATATTACTGTATAGTCTGAGTATTATCATATATAGTCCAATGTTCAGTAAGGGCAGAAATGGTAATGTTCAGTCAGCACAAAGGAAAGACATGGGATCATCCAATCAGCACCAAGACAAAACAGGATTGTCCAATCAGCACCAAGGACAAACATAGGATTTTTCAGTCAGCACCAAGGGCAGACATGGGATTGTCCAATCAGCACCAAGGGCAGAAATGGGATTGTCCAATCAGCACCAAGGACAAAACTGCATGTAGGTTTTACTTACCTCTGAATCCTCTCCTACAAATGATCTGTGGATATTGCATGCTGGTATTTGATATTTTCCAACAGTATTCCTGCATTAGGCCACAGTAAGTAAATTTTATGGATGACATCCTCCGCAGACTCCAAATCTAATGCAAGAGGGCGAAAAAAACAAGGCGGGCCCAAAAAAACAAGATTCCTATATTTTGAAATTTTAACATCATAAACCCTATTAAACAAGAAATGATACCTATATGGTGCTTACTTTACTGCCAACTATCACAACATCAATTTGTCACTAAAACAACTTTAAAAAGGGAAAGTTTTCAATCATTGTACGAACGGTTTTTATTCCGTGGGAACGTATAAAAGGAATAAAATACATCACTGCATCAAAGAAAAAGTAAAATAAATCAGATCCTTGTTTTGTCCCCTCTCTTCATGTTTATCTGCCATATATGTTCCAGCATGGCAAGGCATGCCATTTTGTCCATTTTTGGAATGTTGACCACCGTCAAAGGGCAACAAAATTTCTTGTGTGTTTTTTCTAAAATCAGGCGAAAATCAATGCGCGCGCGGATGTCATCCATAAAAATTACTTGCTGTGGCCTTACATTACATTACTCTGAACACATACAAGTATATAGGTAATAATATTTACGTGATATCAACAAAAAATTCGAAATGTTGCAGGAATCTATTTGACACTTGAAGCAATTACATAGTTATTACATTGTACAGTTTCGAAACGCTATCTGTGAATTTGACTGTTGAATCTCAGTTTAATTCTTTTTTGTCACACTATAGTGTCAGCCTGCGTAAGGACATCAGCTGGCCTTGACCTTGTCTTCCTATTTGACGGATCCAGCAGTGTGACCTCAGCTAACTTCAAGGTCATGAAGGACTTTGTCAAGGACGTTGTGAAAACTTTTGTCATCCAGCCCGACACAACCCACATCGCAGTGGTGCAGTACAGCAATGTCGCACGTACAGAATTCAACCTCAACACGTACAGTAAGACAGCAGACGTTGTAGACGCCATTGGAAGGATCCATTACATGAAAGGGGGTACAAACACTGCAGCAGCGTTAACATATGTAGGACAATCCGTCTTTACGCGGAGTATGGGCGACAGGCCACGCAATCCAAACGTTCTCGTTGTCATTACGGACGGTAAATCGAACGACAACGTGGCGGACGCTACGAGAGCACTGCGCTTGCGAGGTGTCTATGTGTACGCGATTGGAGTCGGCCATGATGTGGACCGGTCCACTTTACAGGCCATCACAGTGGGTAGAAGTAACAAGACTGTGATGATGACTGTCAGCTTTGACAGACTACCTGAGTTAACCGCAAGGCTACAAAAATCCCTGTGTGAGGGTAAGTGTTTTGACTCATGTCTTTAAAACAAAGCTTCTTAAATTTTGAGGGTTTGATTGATCAAGGTCCTTGCGTTGAATCCTAGATTCATTCACACTTTCCATAGAAAAGTTGGGCTAAAAAGCAAGTGTATCAAGAACACAAGGTTATGTGTTTGGACAAAAAAATGGGCTGGGTGCCACAGAACTCAAGAACTCAGTACATTGCCGATTCATAAATGCCACACAAGGCCAGCATGTGCCGGCTTGTTGTAAAAGTTGCCATGTACTATTATGGTAACTACAAATCCGCATGTACCAGCTTTGTATTCCTGTGGTTTAGCACCATTATTTTTGACTGACTGTTTTTTTTATTTCCCTAGTCACGAGCACTAGTTTGGGGGTCTTCAGAGGATGCCATCCATAAAATTATTGTGGACTTAACTTAACAAATACATTGTAATGATTTTTGTGTTTTTCAGGAGAAAACGAATGTGAGCCCACCAACCCCTGTATGAACAGTGCCACCTGCCGTGACGGGGAGTACAGCTACAGTTGCAGCTGTCCACCTGGCTACACAGGCAACAGGTGTCAGACATGTGAGTAACTATGTATGTCTGATTCTCTCTCTGAATACTGTGTAAGAAAGAATGAATGATATAAAATGTCATTTATTGATAGTGAGTGAGTGAGTGAGTGAGTGAGTGAGTGAGTGAGTGATGGATATGTGCTTTTAGCAAATGAGTCAATGAGTAAATGATTGAATGATTGAATGAACGATCTAAAGTATGATGGAAGAAAGAATGACTGAATTAATTTTAAGCACTTAATAAAGCATTTCACGCGCCTAAAAATGTCAAGCCAACATTGGCCTAAAATAGTATATACAAATACGCAATATGTATAAACAACTTACTCACACGGTTATTATTCAAGTTTAAAACTATGTGCTATACAAAACACTACAATATTGAATCTTGTCTAGATGTGAAGACCAGAAAAATTGTATGTAAACTAGAAAGGCCATATTTGCTTTGGAGCAAATACAGCGATGGGTTCACCACATTTTACGACATGGCAGGGAAAGAATGAGAAACACAAGGGAAAACAATGATTTACATTGATATAACTATAATATGAAGTAACATACAACTAAAACAACAGTTGGATAGCTATTCCCTACTTTATTGGTTAGGATTTTTAATTGCATAATGCAAACTGTTGATTTTCAAAATAAATAAAAAAACGTTCATGCCCCGCATTCCAATGCTGGAGCAGAAAAGCTTGAAATACCTACCAAAACACTTGAATAAAGACATACTGTCAGTATGGAAATGCTCTGTGCAGGTGTTAATCAAGTTAAATCCCAACAGCCAATCAGCAAGAAATGCTCTGTGCAGGTGGAAATGCTCTGTGCAGGTGTTAATCAAGTTAAATCCCAACAGCCAATCAGCAAGAAGTATAGAGGAAAGCTGCATGCCTATTGGTTGATGCCCTGCATTCCATTGTGATGACTCATGCCCAGACGTGGTAAACACGGCACACTAACACAGTAATACATTTGCTATAACACAGCCAAAAAACTCAAATAAAACCATTCTAAAAGCCTGTATCACAAAAATTTAAAAAACGCCTAGGGGTATTTGCCCACTGTACCTCCATACCAAATTTCAGGACCTTAGGCCCTAAAATGAAGAAGCTGAATCCATTTAAAAAATGGCAGGAGGAGAAGGAGGAGAAGAAGAAACATCAGAAAAAGCAATATGGGTTCACCACCACTTCGTGGTGTGGTGAACCCATAAATATTAATCGTATAATAAGCCCAGAGAGCCAGGACTGAAAGATAAGTTCCCAGAATACTTTTAATAATGTTTCAGTTAATATCCAACAGTCACAACAGTTTATTCTTCATTGTGATGGCATTTCAACACCAAGAACATTACTAGTAAATGACACCTTTCTTTCAGGCACTTCAAGTAAGACACCGGCCACCTGTATTGCCTGGGGAGACCCCCATTATCTGACCTTTGACGGCGGCCATCTTGACTTCATGGGCACCTGTCGGTACACTCTGACCCGAGACGCCGCGACCAACGGGACACTTTTCAACGTGGAGGTGGAAAACGAGAGCCGTGGTGTAGCAGTAGTGTCGTACACCAAGGCAGTACATGTGAGCCTGTACGGGCGCAACATATCTTTGCAGAAGGGCGGTAGTGTGTTGGTGAGTTGAGCTCTTTTCTGACTACATCCACCTTCTAGCAGCCCTTTCACTAGTTGCAGGGCTCTAAAAGAGCTTAATGGCCAACACCTCTAAGTTAGGAAAATTGGCAACATCTGAATCTTTTTAATTTTTTTCATATATACCAATATTGGACCAATTATTGTAAGACTGAGAACTCCAAACAAATAAGGTCAATGACCTGGACCAGACATCTGTCACCATGGTAACTGGTGTTAGGTTACATAATGTTGCAAGTGCCATGCAGAACTCAAGAGTTAAAGAGGGGCTGTGGTTGTGTTTGAGTAAGAATTAAAAAAATAGCAGTAGCTTGTTAAGCTGGCCATGTGAAGGTAACCATTATGAATTTGCTTTGCAAATCTAGTTTATGGATTATTTTATCTTGAAAGTTGTTTAATTACTTTACAGGTTGATGGTCTGGCGTACACCCCACCCTTATCCCTACCCATCATGCCCCTGACTCCCACCATGCCTACGGGAGTGGAAGTGGTGAATAATGGAGCGCTAACGGTCGTCAAGTCCGACTTTGGACTGGTAGTGTCTTATGACGGATCACACGAGGTTAGTTACAGCCATTATTTTCAATTTAACCTTTAGTACACCGAAGTAATCTAAGGCAGAAGGGAGAAGGTTAAGCTTTAGAACACTGAAGTAACCATATATGGCAACCGAATCTCTATTGGTTCCACGGTTAGGTAGCAGGGAGAAAGTTAACGGTTAGCACACACACTAAATAAATTAAATATAAATGGCAACCAAATCTCTATAGGTTACAGGGTTGGGCAGCAGGGAGAAGGTTAACCTTTAGTACACTGAAGTAGCCATATGTGGCAACCAAATCTCTATATATTGGTTACAGGGTTAGGTAGCAGGGAGAAGGTTAACCTTTAGCACACTGAAGTAACCATGAATGGTGACCAAATCTCTTATTGGTTACAGGGTTAGGCAGCAGGAAGAAGGTTAACACTTAGCACACTAAAGTAACCATGAATGACGACCAAATCTCTATTGGTTACAGAGTTAGGTAGCAGGGAGAAGGTTAACCTTCAGTACACTGAAGTAACCAGAAATGGTAGCCAAGAAAATTGGTTTCAGGGTTAGGCAGCAGGGAGAAGGTTTAACTCCGTGAAGGTTTTTCTCATTCATGAAGGATGAAATAGATTATTTGATGTGCTTCAAAACTGTTGACAGCCGAATGTAGCCTTTGCATGTACATCTGTAGGTAGCAACTTGTTTTACAATTGTATGAATTGTCTGAGTATACCGTAACTGTTCTGTATCATACAGTGCACAAAATCTACTCTTTTTGCACAACTTAAATCATGCATAAAGATTCTGTTCTTTTTCTCGTGTATGCCTTTACACAAGCTTTAATGTGTGCTTAAATACAAGTTTTGTACAGCACACATATCATTATATAAAGAATGCCAATGACAATGTAGAATGATATCGACGTAGCACAGTAATGTATGTAGATATGCAATAAAGTTCATTGCAATTGTCATTATCTTGTTGCCATTCAATATATAAGAACTTTTAATGAACATTTCGTTAACTTTTCTCATGGTTTTCCAGGTTCGAGTCACCCTCCCAGTCTGTTACATGAACAAGACTGAAGGCATCTGTGGGAACTACAACGGTCGCCCTGGTGATGACCTTTTGACCCCTGCAGGGACCACGGCTTCTACTTCTACAGCACTAGGCAACAGCTGGCAAGTGACGTCATCAAATAACAGGTATGATGCTTTGAAACTTAACTGCTGGACACTTAGATAGATGTACCTGACAACAACTACTGAATGGAGGCATTCACAGTGTTCAAAGTTCAAGACAGAATATAATTGTTTATGGCATAATAAGTTTGTAGTGTTAAGGCCATGTTGATTTGATTATATGGATTGCATTCTCTCGGAACCCTAAAGCTGATGCGAGTGTGCGAATACACAAGGTTTGGCAAAGATAACAAAGTTGCCTTCATCATGAAGGTTGACACTTCATGAAAAACCACGTTTCCAAGAGTTTCCAGTCCCGCACACGCCCGTGAAATTCGCCGTGTCCTGGTCGCGTCCATGGATTTCCGGGCTCCGCATGTACGGCCCCGGATATTTCCTTACACTCCCGGATTCGTGCTCGCCGTGCACGTGCACGGAAATTTACGCCCCGCACACTTGGCGTGTGTTGGGGAGCGGCTAACAATAAGGGGTAATTAGGTACTGCGTGTATTCATGTTTCAGGTGATAATTACTTGAACCAAAGTTGCCAGAACTTTAATCTAAGCAAATTAGATATAGAATGATCAAGGATTGTTAATACAACATTTGAACCTATGCGTCCTTGGCTTGATTTATCGTCATGTCGTCCATACGACAAAGCACATTTGAGCGTAGGGCGCCCCGACGCTGGGGTTATATAACCTACTCGGTCAAAATGACCTAAATCTACACTCCAGTCTAAATCTGAATATTTTATTTTGGAAATAATAGTTTATCCGTAAGGTTCATTACCATGATGTAATCAAACGCTTGACTAAAGGGGTTTGAACTAACGTGACCTGATCAGTTTGTTATAATTTTTAGGTACATGTATAGGTAATAATATGCAAGCTTTACATTGTAGTTCGGTCGATGTGTATTGTGATGTGTCTGACATGGCGTCCATTTAGCCTTTGTGTAAACAAAGGGAGAACTCACAGCGTCCCGACGCCTGGTAAAATACTGAAATCCAGCAAAACAAGTCAACCCTCATGACATTGATTGTGGATTTTGGATACATTTACAAAGAGTAAGGTTATGTTGGAGTTAAAGTGCGGTTTTATTTCACTCAGTGAGCGACAAGTTGTGTAATTCTAGAACGAATAAAGCCATGTTATAATGACGAATTAGAATTATGAAGATCATTTGTCTGCCTTGAAATGAATACATTCACACAATCAGAAACATCCTATCATCCAAGTGTTCAGGCTGCACAGGCGATTTAACTTAAAACCTATAATATAAAAACAAGATCGTTGTAGTATTGAACGCGATCACGTGATTATATGACTGACGACCAATCCTACCTCGCTCTCGCCGGGACCAGCCAATAAGAGACGCGATGCTTTGTTTTGGTGGGTCGTTTGAATCTTGCTTTGTCACAACGACGGTTTGCTTTTTCAAAACACGTTTGTCTCGGCTTGCAAAGATTACTAGTATGTTCCTGAACTAAAATGGCGTCAAACATTCCGTTCTGTTACTTCGTTTTCGCAACGGAAGAAATGACTCTACTACACGGGCCGACAATTTGCCGACAGCACCGCAACGAACCAGGAAACCGACAGGAGGAAGGGTAAGCTAAAACAAGGATACTATTATATATACGGCACTATCGTTACATATATCTTAAACCTGTTGTTTAAAAACCTTGGCTAAGTTGTGCCTACGGCAGAAATATTTATTTGGCAAGAAGTGTACACTATTTTTACTGATTGATAACATAGTTTATTATTTCTACTTAGAAGTACATCGATATAGTTAGTATGTTGCTCAGAACATATGTATTTTTTTCAGGCGCGGATTTGGGATACTTTGAGACGATTTGAAGAAACGTTATCGCCAGGCTGTCGGAGAGCTCAGAAAAAGAAAGAAAGAAAAAGCGACTGCAGTCACACAGAAGAGGGTGAGTCTATGCAAATGTATATCTTTGCATACGAAAGCCGACAAGGCTCTTGACAATTTGAATTGTTTTCATTACCGAGGGAAATGTTGTGTTTGTATTGTTCCCATGATTACAATGAAAAGAAACAAGTAGACGTTGATGCTTGATGAATGGAGCCTTTTCATCTGGACAAAATTGTTGCTGTCTGACGTTCAAAACATTCGTTAAAAAATGATAAATGACTTCTCCTCGAAATGTGTCCATACAGACGTCCGCATCTTTGCCAGGCTTGTTTACAAAACTTCTAGTACATGTACACGTAACTTCAAATGAAATTCAAAAATGCCTTCGACTTTTGACTTAGATTTTCGTTTTTCCATGTCCTGCAGGCCAGGCTGGAGGCAAACAGGCAGACTGCACACCCAGGCTCAGATCTAAAGGCGAGGGTGCTGTGTTAAAGCGCCCGGCAGGCTCCGACGACCCAGGCCGGCCCCGCTGCACTCCCGCCCGGGGTGCACCCCGCGCCCAGCACGCCGCTCCGGCCTGACTGCGATCACAACCGACACCAACACCACGCCATCCCGCACACAGACAGGGGGCAATTTGTCCTTCCAGGATGAAAACTTTTCGCTATGGTCCCCTGAAGCAAGGGGGGGCATACCTCCTGGCCTGAAATCTACAACTAAGCCTCATTTTGTAGAGGCGACAACGCAAACTTTACGAAACCGACAGCTTGTCTTTAACGACATTGTAAATTGAATACGTGTTCATGTAATTAATTTCTGTAGCAAATGATCTTTTTTGTAATGACGTGATATTGTTTTCTGCCAAGCCTCTATTTAACTTCATGTTAGGTCTGCAATTATGTTTTTGCTACACGTACATGTATTTTGAAGAACTTTGTTTGAGGCCTTCTTTGTTTATTGAAAATTTAGTCTTTTGACTGTTTGCGTAAGCGCCATTCACTTTCATGATATGAGGGCTATTTTCCTCTTTTAACCTGATGATATGTCAGTATTAGTTACTTTTTGACATTTTTTGCTAAAATGGACTTCTATTTGGAGGTGACTGTGATGAGATGTGATGTTAGTTTACTTTTGAAAGTTAGAGAAATCTGTTAATTACTAGTAATTTCTGAGTTTACACCGGGTCCAACGATTTTAAAAGTCTAGTCCCTGGAAGGCTAGTTCGGGAAAAAGCTATTGTTTCTATGTTTCGGCTACACATTTTTGTAAAGTACCAGGTTACATTATTGTATAGTGTTAGCATAGTGCATAACGTGTATACACTATACATAGAGCGTTATTTTTGTCAATCTGTAAATGGCGATCCTGTTTATACCAATAAAACTATGAATGAAGTATAAACATGTATTACTTTTTTTTATGAATGAAATGTGTTCCTAAAACATCGAAATGTGTCCCGGGAGCGGGGGAAGCGATTTCTCGGGAGCCGGGCAGCGAAGCCCCGGGAGCGGGAAGGGGGGTCCCCGAAGTGGGTGCAGTGGGGTCCCGAGAACGGGAACAGCAGGGCCCCGGGAATGGGAGCAACGGGTCCCGGGAACGGGAGCAACCGGTCCCGAGAGCGGGGCGGGTTTTGGCCGGGGGGGGGGTGTAGTACCGGCATGTCCGACCCGTACACGGCGAATTTCCGCTGCCGTGTGGAGAATAATTAGGTGATAATTGCCGCTAAATTATGCATATTCCAGCAACGCACGGAGCGGTGCACGGCCATTTCCTGCCGTGTACGGGGATGTACAGGGATCGTGTCCGGGCATATAACGTCCAGTACACGACCTGCACACAAAAAGTGGTTCATTTCCGGGAGTGTACAGGACATGTACGGGACTGGACACGTCTCGTGTGCAGGTCGGAAACCCCCGGGTTCTACCGGAAACCTAAAATATCCGGGAAAGTGTGCGGCAATTTCTCACACGGAAACGGGGGATTTTGCACGGTGTGAACAATCTAAATAACTAAACACACAGAGTATGATATCGTGGCAAATAATATACTCTCTATTTTTATTTCTTCACATTCTCTTCTTTACTTTAAATTGATTTTTTTTTCAATTTGCGACATTATAATCGCTTTCCAATATTTTTTTTCAAAATATTGGCTTATTTTGCTTTGTATTAATTTATGGTATAAAACTTTTTTGGGGGATATGGGTGAAAATTGATATGGTATTATTACATGCGTGGATGTTATCTATTTAATAAAAATCAACATGGCCTTACTGCAAAAACTGTGAAATTCACTCTTAGACCGCTGCATCAAATATGTAATGGTAGTAGCTTTAAAGTAAGGCTGTGTTCATGTGAAGTCAGTGAAGGTGTTTTACGTGTGGTTTACCCCGAAGCCAGTTTCAAGTGGCTCCATCTGAACGCTCTAAATCACATTAAAAGCGCCTCGATCCCAAACCACTTCTAGAGGTGATTTCGAATCGGTTTTCCCGCATCGCGATTTGCGTCTGAACGCAATGTGATTTCAATGTAACTTCGCCTGGTCATGGATTATGGGGTGATATTTCTTTATTTATATGCAATACCAACTTTTACGTGGCAGCAACTTAAAGAGCAGTAATGGTCAAATAATGTGTCCGTTCTTCACCGCCTCTGGCGGGACCACGTCGGCATTTGGCCGAGATAAGCTGGGAGGGGGGCATCAGCAAGCATGTCATTGACCTCTGACATTAATAACACGCTATCCTGCGTGTTTTCATCAAACAACATTAAATGTAGCTCAGGCGAATTGTGATCGGACACAGTTTCAAAGAAATGTGTGGCACGTGGACCAGATGTGAGGAATGTGAGTTACCCGAATCGCGGTTTGGGTGACTTCACATGAACAAGGCTTAAGTCTAATTTGACAACACTCGATCGTCTCTCCATCAGATGTGCTCCTGCTGGTGAACTGAACGTGACAGACTGCGGCGCCCTGCGAGCGACCGTCTCTGCCACCGACAAGTGCGGCCTTCTCAACGACACGTCGGGCCCGTTCCGCGCCTGCCACGCCAAAGTCAGCCCGTCCGATTTCTTCTCCGGTTGCGTGTTTGACATGTGTGCGTACGGCGGAAACGTCACACAGCTGTGTCAGAGTTTGGAGGCGTACGCACACGCTTGTCAACAGGCAGGGGTGCAGATATCATGGAGGTCTTCCAGTCTTTGTCGTAAGTTAACCGCATCTTGAATCTTGCTAAAAGTCATCCTGTGCATCAGGGTGGTAAAACAAAAATATATTCCAGATGAAGAAATGGAAATGTGTCTGATATTGACATTTACTGCTGTTTCGTCATCATTTTATACTTCATACAAGCATTTGAAATAGCCCAAAATTAAGCTTATTGTGTATTATCATGCGAGAAATTTGTAACGTTTGGATATATCCATTATGATGATGCAATGACTAAAATTCACACATTTACGAACACAGTGTGTTTTACATACAAAATGTAGTTACTGTGTCACATTGTATTTTGACCTCTAACAAATGGACCTATACCATTATTACGTCACAGTTTGTTTACCGCAATGAATGCCGGTCAATCTCCCTTTATATTGTACAGGGGTGCGTAGCGCGGTGTGTGTTTGTGTAGCGTTAGCCTAATATAAGGCTTTTAATACAGTACTACTTTCGTCTAATGTCGCAACTAAATCACCCATACGGCATGTAATGCTGTGTGAACACAACTAGACGCAGCGAAAATCAGACATACCTGACTTTGAAAACTTTGAAATGATCTTTATCCTTTAACTGACCGTTCTAGAATGTTCTTTAGAAACTGTGACGTAATAATGGTATAGGTCCATTAGAACTGTACTAAGACAGTAACAGTAGAATACTATGAGTAGTCACTACTTCTTTTTGAACTCATATTGTACCAGTACTTAATTCAAAGGGAAAAGTATGGAGGGTTTCCAAAAGATGGCAAGAAGTTTCCTAAGCTATCTTGACTCAGAAATGTCCTAGAAAGTCAGACAAAAGTTTAGTACTGTGTCGATCTAATCTGATTTAGTTGACTCCTACAGTTAGCTCATTTTTTCTGTCCTCTTCCTTCCTACCCAATATCTTGCCCTGCTCACAGCGCAAGACATGTAAAGAACAAGGACAATGTCAGCAATCAGTAACCAGCTCTTTTCGGCCCATCTAATCTGCATTAAAATCTTCTAGGGTTAACTTGCTTTTTTCTCTCCACTTCCTAGCCATGTCCTGCCCTGCCCACAGCACCTATAAGACATGTGTGAAGAACCAGAACTGTATGACTGGTGTAAACCCCACCCTGACCTGTATGGAGGGTTGTCAGTGTGACGATGGTTATGTTCTGAGCGGCCGCGAATGTGTGAAGCAAGAAGACTGTGGCTGCACCGAGGACAACCATTATCGTAAGGTACAGCAATTGGAACTAATGTGCATGCACGGGCATTTTTACAGCCGAACTCCCTTATTCGTCGATGAAGGTTAGACATCCAGGTAATACAATACAATCCCAAAAATTGTCTTCACTTTATTTGCATATCAATCAATAGTTAGTGCTTATAAACTTGCATTTCTCCTCTGGTTTCTCAGTCACTGACGAAAGCTAGTGGATACTAGCTGAAACGTCTGATCCTGTTCAGCAGGCATGGCGACCGTACCGTTTACATGACCCTGTCACAGACACGACTGTGCAATGTGGTGTAGTGACCGTTTCCAAAATCATATCCAGTTGCTTGAGTAACTGCTTTTTGACGAACTCCCTTATTGTTTGACAGAATCTTGTTGCTAATGAACCAACCAAAAATTATTTCAGTCTGCAATTTGTAGAGGCAAAATTAGTGAGTCTAATAATATCAGCAAAATATCTAGTATTTCAAAATTTACGTTTTTTGTTTTTAATTATTATTATGAATCATTAATTGTAAATGTCTTGCTGATTCTGTGATTATCATTAAATATTTTTTTCTCTGGCTCCCACAAGGCAGCAGACATAAATGTAGCAGGAAATTGGACACAGGAAATGAGATATCCCATTCTGGGACCTAGGCATCTTACCCAACTTCCTGTCAGTGTCCTTGGTGTGTCTAGCATGTGAATGTACATGTGAAAAATAAAGATCATGCCAGAAAGTGAGCAGAAATAGCATTTCGTCTTATGAGTTTCGTAACGATCATGATTTGTTGCCCTTTGTCTGCAGCTGAACAGCACCTGGGGAAGGAAGGATGGAATGCGCTGCACCTGTCTCCAGGGCAACCAGATCACCTGCAAGCCAGCTCGGTGTGGAGCCAACTTCTACTGGGCCCTGCAGGATGGCAGGTATAGCTGCCACTGCCGGCCCGGACAGGACTGCAAAGGTAGGGTTCCTGGGGACAGAAGTATTGTTTTGAGTGGCTACATTGTGAGTTTCTGTGTTTTGTGTCTAAACAGAGTAGGTTACAGCAAATGGGTGGAAGGAACAATTGATAGGCAGACACAGGAGATGGAGGATGATCTTGAAGGTCACAAAAAACCCCTCTGTAGTCTGAAACCTTTGATTTTCTTGTTTTGTTACAACGTACAATGTACGTACCATGTCTATAAGCGTTAGATAGACATCTAAGAATATATATATATATTATGTGTCATTCTTCCTGATTGCTAAAAATGCTAACTTAAAGCCTGGTTTGTCCAATTCGCTTTGTGTAGCATTGGGACGGTCTACTCCTGCAAAATGTTGAAACAGTCCATTTCTGCATATGGAGGGAGATGGGGTGTAATATGCTGTATTTGCTTGCAAATGTGGCCTTTCTAATTTCATTCTATCTTACTGTGCAGTACCGATTCGAAACTGCAGTAAATATTGCAATAGTGCACTAACAGCAACTGCTGTATTGCTGCAATACACTGTACTTTTACTGCAGTGAGTCCACAAGAACTTTACTTGGCAATGCTGTATTACGCCAACAGTAACTACTAAATTATTAGATTTTGAAAAAGATCCACATATTTTGGTTTTCCTATTCCAGACTTGTGCTACACAGGCACTGGTCTTACATATCGTGGAAAGGTCACCATGACGGAATGTGGACGACCTTATCAGAGTCCATAAGAATTTAACCTGCTCTGTTGTGCTACTAACAGTAACAGTAGTATGGTAGTACCAATGAAATGACAAGATTTTGGAAAAGATCCATACATTTTGGTTATTCCCTTCCAGACTTCTGCTACACAGGCACTGGTGTTACATATAATGGAAAGGTCGCCATGACAGAATGCAGACGACCGTGTCAGATTCCATAAGAATTTTACCTGCTCTGTTGTGCTACTAGCAGTCACTACCAATGAAATGACAAGATTTTTTAAAAGATCCAATTTCTGTGGTTATTTTCTTCTAGACTTGTGCTACACAGGCACTGGTCTTTCATATCGTGGAAAGGTCACCATGACAGAATGACCTTGTCAGAGTTCATAAGAATTTTACCTACTCTGTTGTGCTACATTATTAATGAAATGACTTGATTTTGAAAAAGATCCCTTCATTTTTGGTTATCCTCATCCAGACTTCTGGTACACGGGCTCTGGTCTTACATATCGTGAAAAGGTCGCTAAAATGGAATGCAGTCTGACTTTGTCATAGTCCATAAGAATTTTACCTGCTCTGCTGTGCTACAGTAACAAATGAAATGACTTGATTTTGGAAAAGATCCATACATTTTTGATTATTCCCTTCCAGACTTCTGCTACACAGGCACTGGTCTTGTATATTGTGGAAAGATCGCCATGACAGAATGACCTTGTCAGAGTCCATATTATTAAGAATTTACCTGCCCTTTTAAGCTACAGTAACTACCAAATTATTAGATTTTGGAAAATATCCATACATTTTTCGTTATTCCCTTCCAGACTTGTGCTACACAGGCACTGGTCTTACATATCGTAGAAAGGTCGCCATGACGGAATGTGGACGACCTTGTCATACTCATAGCCATAAGACTTTAACCTGCTCTGTTGTGCTACTAACAGTAACTGCCAATGAAATGACTTGATTTTGGAAAAGATCCATACATTTTGGTTATTCCCTTCCAGACTTCTGATACACAGGCACTGGTCTTACATATCGTGAAAAGGTTGCCAGGACGGAATGTGGACGACCTCGTCAGAGTCCAAAAAAATTTTACCTGCTCTGTTATGCTTCTAACAGTAACTACCAAATGAAAGGATTTTGGAAAAGATCCATAAATTTTTTGTTATCCTCTTCCAGACCTCTGTTACACAGGCACTGGTCTTACATATCGTGGAAAGGTCGCCATGACGGAATGTGGACGACCTTGTCAGAGTCCATAAGAATTTACCTGCTCTGTTGTGCTACAGTAACTAAGATCCAATTTTTTGGTTATTCTCTTCCAGACTTGTGCTACACAGGCACTGGTGTTACATATCGAGGAAAGGTTGCCAAGACGGAATGTGGACGACCGTGTCAGAGCTGGAATTCTCAACTGCCGCACTCCACCACCGCGTACAGTTCTAACTCCAGCCTGGCCGGGCTGCAGGGGAACTTCTGTAGGAACCCTGGTGGCGAGGTCTCACCCTGGTGTTTCACTGTGGACCCACTGGTCACGAAGGAAGTCTGCAAAATACCCAAATGTGGAGAAGGTGGGACATTCATTAGTTACAGTATGTTCCCAAGATATAGAATACAGATACTTGTTTCAGCACTATTGATAATGCACCAACATATCAATCTTACAAAACTATATGTATGTTCTTATTTCTACATGTAATTCAAATAACAGCAAATACTTTAAAAACAGCACATACTTCCTTCTCTGCTTGGCCCTCCGTATTTAGGTAAAAGTATGGTATAAACACACACTACTACCAAATGTACTAGCCCCTTGCTATAGTAACTGCATTGCTGGTGAGGCCCAAGGGCTATTGAACCAGAGTTGGGTGCTGCCCTATGCACCAGTTGGTGCAGGAAGGACTTTTTAATTGAGCCAAGTTTGATATGAAAGCATTTCAGCACCAAGGAAAGTGACTACATGACATTATATTGTATTATACAAGCCTGACATGAAAGATACTTGATTCTATGTATCTATTGCATCTTTATCAATAATTACTGTTACCTCTGCCTATCTATGCAGCCTATTGTGCCAGTAGTCCATGTCTAAACAACGCCACCTGTCAGGAGGACCTGGAATCGTACCTGTGCACCTGTCCTCCGGGGTATCAGGGCGACCGCTGCCAGATATGTAAGTTGTACTGTGTATTCATTTTATTATTTTTTTCAGTTAGTAGAAATTCTTCGATCAGTGACTGTATTTTTGTATGGTAAATCACGCACCACAAATTTTTGGTGTCGACTGTACACCTTGATCACGGAATGACCTAACACGTGACTAGGTCGAGACTTGTGTGGATCTTCTGGCCTCATATTTTTTCCATATTTTTTTTCATATTTTTTTCCATATTTTTTTTTCCAGAGCTGCAGATT